GTTGGCTAATAATCTCTCATCTTAAAAACCAGTCGGTCGATCTCTGCAGTCCCAGCTCTGAACCAGGGTTCCTCGGTTCCTGATCCAAACTGCAAACGTTTCTTCTTTGGGCTTTCTTCTTCTCTTATCACAATAGTCTCCTGTGAGCAGCAAAGCAAAACCAATAGTCATCTCTAACTGATGACGACTGGTTCTGAAGTAAACGGGGACGGTTGTTCTGCGAAGCAGTAATGATAAATGAAGCATACTGTCCAGGGAGAGGGGCGATTGCATTAAGTCAATGTTTATTGAGTTTAGCTCTGCTCCCTGTTCCTGCAGATAGCAGGGTCCATATCAGGACATGCAGAGCTTCTGAGAAGCTGTAACCATGGAGACGTGATGCTGCACTTGGTTTATATGTAAATAATCATCACACCTCTGTTTGGATCTCAGATCTGATGGTGTATGGAGTGAGTTTTGCTCCAATATTGTATCAGAGAACACGTTTTGCAAATGGCAGTTTAATAAAAAAAATACAACCCAGAAATGTACCTGAAAAATGTACAAAAAGGTTTTCAGAGAAACTTTGCTGTTTTCTTAGATCATTAAAAAAATTATACTTTTACTTTATTTATATTTTTATTTGATTATATTTTCGTAAAATATAAAACATTTCCTCTGCTGGATGTTGGTAATAACATTTTCATTTGGCTAGAAGGGACGAGAACATAGAACCAGTTTGAAAAGAATCCCATTCGTAAACCTCAATCTGAAAAAAGGAAATTTGAAAAAAAAATAATAATAATAATTAGAGTAATTTGGAAAATTAAAGTAATTTAAAGAAAATTATTTGATTATGACATTTTTGTAGAGTTTCATTTCTGGGTTGCTTTATTTAATTTCAACAATCATTTAGTTTGCCTTCAGCAATACTGGAACAAATTTCCCTCCATAGCTGTGCTGTTAGTGTGGAAGTTGTGTGCCTACATGTGCAGGTTCCACAAAAACCATCAAAAAAACATTTAGTAGACCCTTTTAAGTAGATTGATTTTTTTTTTTTTTTTTTTTTTTTATTAATCCAAACAGCAAAGAAAATGGGATGTAATCTATATTTAATTTAACTTAATTTATCTCACATTGGAGAAATTTACCCCTGCATTTAACCCATCCCCTTGGGGAGCAGTGGGCTGCCATTGTATGGTGCCCTGGAAGCAGTGTGAGGTTAAAGGGTCAGAAACCCAGAGTGGCAGTCTGTGGGAGTGGGGCTTGAACACAGAACCTCTGGATTCCAAGCTCTCTGCCCCTAACCACTAGGCCGCCACTCCCACTATATAGAGATAGT